CATTTAAATCCCTCTTATAAAATATAAATGCAATTATGAAAAGCACTATGAAGCCACTAATCATCACTGTAATTGAGATATACATGTAACAAATTCAGTGAGTGGGACTAGATGATCCTTATGGGACCCTTCCAATTTAAGGTATTCTATGATATATACACACATGCACGCAAAAACAACACACACAGACACACTGTTTTTGTATCAAACCACAGCCATAGAAGATCATTTACAAGTTGTTCTTTTTTTGTGGAAAGTCCAACATCTAGCTTTATTATATAGCATAACTATTCGAGGAGTTTTCATCTGGTATGTAAAGCCTCTGTTGCTAGCCAGGGTTAGTAACATTGAATTTGACTATAAAGATTACCTGAAGTCTCAATTACTGTAATCACTTCTCCAAATAATTAGTCTGCTCAATAATCATAGAAATATGTATTGAGCCAAGAGATAGGGAATGTTCAGCAAGGGAAAACAGAAGCCGAGGAGTCACAGACACTGAAAAAGCTGCACTATAAACCTTATAAACAATATCTCTTTATACCAATTGAAAAACAAGGATTCAGCTTCCCTTAACAGGGCACATTTAAAGAAAACTAACCATTTTTTCACTTTACTGCAAGCAGAAGACAGTACAGTAGGATGTAATAAAATCAAGCTGATACTTGAGAGCAAACTGGCAGAAACATATATATTCACTGAGAGACTCTGTAAGCCATACTATAGTCTACATAATAAACTAGCTTTGTTTTTTTTCCCCCAGCTGCTTCAACATCTAACTAGCCACCCCAGCTGAGGCTGTGGGGAAGGCTTATAGGAGTGCCAACATCTGCTTCTATTCCCATCAACGTCAAATTTGTCAGAACACAAAACTGTGCCAGAGAAACAACCTCGGCCATACGAAATTAAATTCTACTTCCATGGATATCCCCTGAAGTACCAAGTGTAGCAGATCGATTACATTTCCAATTTCTATTCCAAAATAAAGTTCCTTTCCAAAAAATATATATTACATTTTATATATGTATATACATATATGTGCATGCATACTAAAATTCTTTATGGCCTGGTTTATGTTTAGTGGCCAGTCAATTAGTGCAAATCACAAACATAAAACCTAAGCCCTATATCAGGTAATAAGGTGACAAATTAAACTAGCCACTTTTTAGCAACACTTTACTATTAAATACTTTTTAATAGTACATCTTTTTAATGTCTCACCAACTTCTACCCACAGTTTTAGAGGTCTCTTTACTACTGCTATGCTGAGGATTCAAGCGAGTACCCTGATTACACAGTAAATGAAACCCCTCATGAAAACATTCAGGAAATTACAAAAAAAAAAACCAACTATTTTTTTAAATTCTCCTTAAAAATCGTATGTTCCCCAGCACAAAATCACAGACCAATGAATCTCAGAAAAGTTTATGCAGTTTTGCTGTAGTTAGCTAGTCATAGAATAGAATCATTAATGTTGGAAAAGACCCCCAAGATCATCAGGTTCAACCAGTAACCCAGCACTGCCATGTTCTCCACTAAACCACATCCCCAGGTGCCACATCTGCACGTTTTCTGAACACCTTCAGGGATGGCGATTCCACCACTTCCCTGGGCAGCCTATTCCAATGCCTGAACACCCATCCAGTGAATCAATTTTCCCTAATATCCAATCCACACCTCCCCTAGCGTAGCCTGGGGCCATTTCCTCTTGTCCTGGCACTTGTCAGCTGGGAAAAAAAAGACTGATTCTTACCTCACTACAGCTTCCTTTCAGGTACTTGTAAAGAGTGATAAAGCTTTCCCTCAGTCTCCTTTTCTCCAGGCTAATTGTGCTTAAAGGGCAACAAAGGAAATTTCCCTTATGTTTACACAGATCACAGTAAATACAGACTTTTGGTCATTTGCTACAGAATGAAGGAGATAAGGTAATTATATTAAGGATATTGATAATGTCACAATTTTTTTAAAGCATCTTTACCATAAATACCCAAGGTAATTAGTAATTATTCAGTCACACAGTTGGATGACATGGAATTATTTTAGATGGTGAAAATATTTACCAAGTGTTGCTTTCCATCCCCTCCAGAAAGTGCATTTTGATAAGAAAGAAAGATTTTCCTCTATTGTTTTCCAATGGAAGAGAAGTAAAGCTTCTCTTTCATTAGAAAGCAAAGATTTTGCCACAGGAAAGTGGTATGATCACCAGCAAGAACACCCAGAAGCAGAAAAAGTCCAATTGCTCATTTAGCCAACAAAGTACCAATTGTTCATAACAGAAACTTAATATTGTAGCTTAGTAAAAATAAAAACCCTCGTCTACAGATATAACTTTAAAAGGTGTTTTAGTGTCTTAAGTAAATTCTTCCATCACATGTTACTTTTAAGAAATGCTAGAAGGAACAAAAACCCTGGTATTGCAATGACGCTCTAAATGTTATAATGAAACATCTGAAGGAAAAGTATAATCATTTATCCATAATTTCCTGTGCATGCCTCTTCTCTCTAACATTGCTGCAACTACTGGGTGATGTAAGTTTATCCACCTCACATATGTTTACACATCTCACTGCAATTGGCCCAAAATTGTTATTGCTCTGTATCACTGAAATCTCAACACTACTGCAGTTTATTACTGGAAGATTCAGGAGATATAAAATAATAATATTAACACAACCAGACCTTTTCACTCAGATTTGTTTTGTGATGAATGCAGATGTAAAACAATATACAAAATCTACACAGCATAAAGCGAAAAAGAAGAGGTGAATGAATTCACATGGGAATGACCACTCAGCTACTTCTATGTAATAAAGTTACAAGTATATCAAATCTTCTGCTATGCACCTTACAGTGTTACAGACTTTTGACAGAATGTACAAACCAAGCTACTTCTCACTACACTCCACTGATAAGTGGAGGATGAGCAATCACAGAGTAGGAGGGGAAATAAAGACTTTAAATAACAAACCAGAAATCTGTTCTGAGCAATACTCTTTATTTACAACATAAACAAAAGAACCTAAATAAATCTAGCATACAGTAGGTATGTTTCCAGTGTAGGGAAACCAGCAAAGCATTTCCCATGTTGACACAGACAAGCAAGTCACTTCCTTCTTATAACCTCTTCATTCTCTAGCCATGCACAGGGGTTTTTTTTCATTTATCTAAGTGAACACCCTATTTCCTATTAACTACAGTGAAAACTGCAGGTACTCTGAGCAAATTGTCAGGGAGACTAGAACTGGCTTCAACATCTCAGTCATAAAGGAAACGTGGTTTCCACCACAATGAGCTCCACTGACGACACTGAGATGACCTGGAAGCCCAACCGTTAACTTGGACTGGAACATAAACCCCTCAGGCAATGATGGTTTTGATGGCTTACGTAAAATCAATGTCATGGTCTCCATACTGGCCCTGGTCCAGCGGCCCTCATAAATCCACCACCACAGCTGATCTCAACAGCAGTCCCAGCAGGTAGACCAAAGGAAAGCTCAGAAGTTGTTTCCTCAGACAAAACTGAGGTACAATTAGAACAGGTGACATTTCTCTGTGAAGGATTTATGCCTCTGAACGGTCACTTGAACCCTGTCCACAATCGCTAATGAATCTGAAAAGCTGATGTAGAACCAAGTATTTAACACAAACCCTTTCTCCACAGGATTTATTTAGATCATCTTGATCCAACCTGCAAGAAGGCTTATTACTGAATTCAGTGTCTGGATAGAACTTGAAACACCTACAGATTCTGATCCTTGGGAAAATTTGAGCACTTACTGCTTGAACCAAATATCTTATGTGTAAAACCTTAGAATTCAAAAATAAAGATATTACAAATTCTCAAATTTGCTGAAATCCAAGACTCTGGCGTACACCAAATTTGTGGATTAAGGAAAAATATGGAAGAACATGGCCCTAGAACAGTTTTTTTAAAAGTAGGTAAAACCTGATCATTAAATGGAAGCAAGTAATATAATCGCACAGCATCTTTTTCAAACATACATCCTAAACTTAAAAAAAAAAAAAAAACCAACCCAACACATTGGACCATTTACCATTTTTCATGGTGCTGCTGAGGATAAACATATGGAGAAAATAAGCTACTCTGTAGATCTTATTTCACTCCAATGTCTGTGCTTTTATTCTCCCTGTCACAGCCAACTTAAGAATTTCCTCTTTCATGGTAATAAGCAGAAAGTCCACAATTCTCAAGGCAGCAAAGCAGGAAGTTTGCAGTTGGAAGGATTTCCCCTCTTCAATGGGACAGGAGAAGAGAAATGTATGATGGGGCTACCGTGAATACTTTTGCAATCTGAAGCAGCTGATTTGTACATATTTATCACATCAGAGCCCTAAAGTGATGTTACCAAGATCAGACACAAATGAAACACTGGCCGCATCTGTTCTGCAATAATTTCTTCCTTTGGCTTTTTGAGAGAGTGAGAACTCCTGCCTTTTGAGAGAGTGAGAACTCCTGACTAGCGTATTACCAGGCACCAACAATCCTACCAACAGTGACAGTCAAATGTAGAAGGAAGCTCCAGGTGTCACACCACAGCTCAGCAGAACGCACTGCCTTCCCAGCTGACCCTCTATCACAAGACGGGAGTGAATGCCACATGTGGCTTTAATGCCAAGCAGCTGCTGCTGCACACCAGCACCCCCTCTGTCCTGCTCCCTCCCCCCTGCACCGCTGGGCTTCCAGGACTGTCGCAAGTAGTGGAATACACTAAAATGAACGCAAGCCCCTCACCCGTTAGGTTTGGGGGAACCCAAACCCATCACCCCACCCGCTTCCACGCGCGGAGACGCGAGACCATCAGCGCCAAAGCGCGGCCGGGGGATTGAGGAGGGCGAGGGCGGGAGGGAGGAAAGCCGAAGAGGGGTCGTGCTATCTCAAAACCTGTTACTCTCCCTCCCTTTTACGCAAAAGCTCGGGGTAAACCCCTTCCCGGCCGGGCGTCCCGCCGCCTGCCCGGGCCCCCAGCGCCGCCGCTCACCGACACCAGGAACTCCAGCGTGCCCACGTAGTCCCGCTCCGTCTTCAGCAGCTCGTTGAGGACGCACACGCGTAAGCGAAGCTGCTTCTCCAAGTCCTTCCCGCTTTCCCCCTTGCCTTCCCCCTTGCTTTCTTCTGTCATGGTGCGGCGAGGAGGATCGGTGCTCCCAGCCCGGCGCCTTCCCCCGAGCGCCCCGGCGCTGCGCTGCGGACAAGGACAACAAAAGACCCCGCCAAGTTACACAGCGGGCCGGGCTCCGGCCGGTCCCCGGCCGCGCCGCAGCCCCGCTCACCCCGCTCCGCGGCGGCCCGAGGTCCGCAGGCGACGAGCCACCCCAGAGAGCGCTCCTTTCCCGTCAGGAAGGGGACACAGCCTGGAGGAAACGAGCGGTCACTGGTTCCCAGCTCGCCCTGCTAGCTGAGAGGTTGGAAAGCCTCCGCAGCAGCAGAGACTTGGACATTAATCAAAAGCTTTGTATCCATGTGACTCCAACCCCTTCCCCCCCTTCGCTAAATCTCAGGAAAAAGGAAAGGAAACAACTTCAGGGAGCGTTGCGTGCCAGCAGCTGCCTGTTTCACACACAGGCTGCGATCTCCAGTTTGAGGCTAATTGGAGTCCTCCAGCAACAGAGTAAAAGAATTATAAAAATGTCCCAGCAAGCTGGCTGGCGAGGGAATCGGCAGTTGTTTTTGTTTTGATTTTATCATCAGCAAAGAGCCATTTCAACTTCCCCTTCCACACCTTCCCACGAGATGTATATTACAATGTGTATTATAAATACGGGCTGTGATATTCTCCCGAACGAGCATACACAGCTAAGCATGTGCTGAGCAGCTACAGAGAAGTTCTTTGAGGATAATGAGGGGGTTTAGGTTGGCTGGTTTGTTGGTTTACTGAAAGAAAGTGCTATAAACTCTCCAGGTTATACAGTTTTCCTATCTGCGTATCAGATTTGCATGACACATTAAAAGGATAAAAAAATAATTCAGTAGGCATTTTAAAGTATTCCAAGTAGCTCTTCAGTTTGTGACTGGAAAGAAAATACAGGTCTTCATACTTATATATTCCATATCAACTCTTTCTAATCCTGCAACATCCTAAAGGGACAGACTAAAATGAAAACCTGAGTGTAAAACTCTTCAAGCTTCAGAACAAGTTGAGGCAGTGAGAGGAGTCCTTTAGTGGGAAAGACAAAGCAAAGACATTTGTGTTCTGATAACTAGGCATCATCAAGCTGCTGCCTCAGACATTTCTTGTGAAACAGAGGATACACTTCCCACAAGACGTTTCCCAAAGAGCAAAGAAAAAAACAAAAAAAGCCTATTTCTTTGAATGTGACCTACTTCCTTGCATCCTCCCCTTCCCAAACACAAACAGCTCCTGTGCATAAAGCCAAGGCAAGGAGCAGCAGTTGCTCAGACAAACTCTGCCATATCTATCCTGCTCAGCCATTTATGCATGTGCAGATAAGCCTGGAACTTGCCTGCTGACCTCAACATAGCTCCTTCCTCAGTATGGGACTGGTCCATTTCAAGACCAGATACTGATTTTCATGAAAATCAAAATTTCACATTTTTTAATACCTCATGGTTCTAATGGACTGATGTGTTGAAAAGCCAAACACAGCTCACTGAAGCCTCTTTCTTTAGAAAACCTGTTTAAAATAGATAACTTGTCTGATGATTAGCTCAGAAGTTTTTCACCCTCTTGCTGGTCTTCATCAGTGAGACGCTGTTCCCAAAGTCCTGAGGTTCAGTGGCATCTGCCCTGATCCTGTGGAGGGGATTAGGTGTTTCACAATTGCTTGTATTAGCATCAAGAAGACTTCTTCTAATCACCCACCAAACCCCATGATGGAGTTCTCAAGTGATAACCAGGAAAAAAGATCCAAAGCCACTGGAGCAGAACACGCTATTGTTTTGCACTCCTAAATGCATGTGGGTGCCCTTCTTCAGGGGCACCGTACCCTCAGTCGTAGCCTAATGCCTCAAACTTGTTAAATTTCCCATCAAAAAGCACCCTCTCTTTCTTTTAGGAAAGCAGAGATAACATTTCTACATTTTTTGGTTTCAGACCCTGTGCTCCTGCCTTCAGCTGTGTGCCATTGGTTGTCACAATCCCCATGCACACGCACAGACCAAGGTGACAGCTAAAAGAAGCAGAAGCGGCAGCTTAATCTTTCTTTCCCGTCATCTGTAGAAGTAAAAATAAAGAATCCCTTCCTTTTACATGTTTGTATCTCACTGCCAGGAGACATTAGAGCCAAAGCAATTCTTGTCCTAGTTTACCCTGCTGCTGCCCTCACACAGTGCTCCTTCATTGAAGCAAGCAGCTCCAGCTATCTGGGCCAGCAAAAGCATTAGGGACGACACACAAGAAACTTTTATGAACTCATCTAAAGCCACTGAACCCAGCAAAACCCACAGCAGATGTGCAGTGATAGGAAAAGTCACTCAAGGTACCAGACACAATCTATGGAAAACATACGTGCCTAAAGGCTCAGCCAATTTTCCTGACAATCTGCTTGAAGTAATAAAGACACGGGGCAAATTACTCTTTTCCCCTAGTTTCAGGACAAAGCTAAATTGCTCCAATTGTAGTTTTCACTACACCAAAACTGAGTATAAAAAGGATGAAATAGAAAAATGGTAGAATATAGAGGCAAAGGATTAAAAAAATTTAGCCTGAACAAGACATTTTAAGCAACTGAACAGCTGATTTTACACTGTGATGTATCAGGAAACTTAACTAGTACATAATTTGTTTCTGTATTTTAGACAGGGAGCGCTATGTAAAACAGGGTCTTGAGTATGCTGGCATGTGGGGACAGTGATCCTTGCTCCCTATGTGGAAAGACACGGATTTGGAGAAACTGAAAAAAATCATACTGTTCCCATGGAATGTTATAACTCTGGAATGCAAGAAGAACTATTTTGGGCCAAGGGTATTTGAGGCTCAAGTTGGATTTCTACTTGGAATCCTGTTGGAAAAAATATGACAACACGTGTGGCCTGTACACATAGCTGAGGATGGATGTGACCTCCTCAGATCTAGTCCAGCCCTCCTGCAGTAGAGTGCCCAGGGCAACAGGATGGGTTGTCCAGCCAGGTTTTGAGTAACTCCACAGATGCAACTCCACAGTCTCTATGGGAAACATGTGCTAGTGTTTGACCAGTATTCTAAAAAAATAAAATAAAGTCTTGTGTTCAATCAGAATGTTATGGTTTTTAATGTGTACCCATTGCTTCTCACCCAGCCATCTGGCACTACTGAGAAAAATCTGACTCCCTCTTTGTTACTCCCTCCCATCAAGCATTTAGAAACTAGGATAAGATTGCCCATGAACCTTCTCCCTTCCAGGCTGAATGGTCCCATCCCTCTCAGCCTCTCCATGTATGTGAGATCCTCCATTGCCTTAGTCATCTTTGTGGTCCTATCTGATGATCTGGACCAAGATTCCTTATTAAATATCTTTTTCATGACAGATGAAAGCAATTAAACTCCAGTGATCTACCATGGCTCTTATGGTCTCTGTGGGAAAACCCCATGGATTTGTTTCTGTGTTGCCACTGAATGATGGATATCAATGCAAGACAGCTCCAGTATCACACAAGGATGTAGTCAAGTGTTCTGCAGGACACATTATCTTGTATTAAAGCACTGTAAAGGATTCCTCAAGTCCAGCTGGGAACTTAAAATTGTCTTCCTTTCAGAGAGAGCTGAAACAAATTTTTATACTAGAAAAAAAAATACAAACAAAAACTCCTTAAGAATTACTAAGAGGCCTATGCAAAAAATGTGATAACAAAGACTAAAAAAGTTCACCAGAATAAAAACAGTTTCTTTGCAGGTGGGTCTAGTACCATACTGTGCCATTAAAAGGTTAATATGTATGGGACTAGCTGTAAAGTGTCATGAAGTGTTGGAGAGTAAATAAACTGCAAAGTGCACTTCTGACACATAACTTTTTGTTCATTCACCACAGAATTTACACTAAACCAACTTTTCAACCATAGGTTTTAAAGAGATGTGATTATATGTACAGAATGAACCAAAATAATCAGTTCTATAATCTTTCTTTATGGCATTTTGGAAGAAAGATGGCAGTACTTTAACCACAAAGACATTTAAATGGTCCCAAGCATAGTAAGTTATAATCTTCACTGTAAAATAATCATCAACATAACGAGTGAGCCCATATAACCAAAAGCTTTCTGCAGGTATTCTGAATACAAGTTGATCTCCTTCCCAAAACCAGACTCTTTTACTCCAAGCTGCTACAACATTGCTCTCCCAAGTATGATTGCACAAGACGTCACCACAAAGCTTTTCCAGGAGCTTCTTATGATAGTGTGTCTCTATCCACAAGGCTTTTAATAATTTTATTCCCACCAGCACAAGGGACACAGCAAACGTAGCAAACAAAATCTTAACATTCAGCTTTACTTAGCATGGAAAGAACGACTGATGCATGATCCAAACCTGATTTATCAAAAAATAAGGCTAAAATTATGTGTAGACATTATAGCTCTTAATAAAAAGGGTGATTTGCTTAAGGGTGATTTTGCTTAATCCCTTAAATTAATGTATTTGATTTTCCCTGTGGGAATAAATTGTACCCTTAAAAATCCTGCAGAAAAGCCACCCAAGTCCTAGAATGACAAGTGATCACTGCAGATGGTTTTTCTTCAGAAGGTTATCTGGCATGAGCCACCACACACACAGAACCCCAAAACAGGAGCAGAATAGTTCAGGTATCTTTTGACTTTAAATTGGTATTAAAAGACTATGTATAAATGCATGGCAAGATTTGCACAAGAAACTCTTAATCAGTTCAGGATGAAATTTCCCTTACCTGAAACCACTACAAAATAAAAACAGTCTCCACAAGGTTCAACCCAAACTTAGGTACCCTGATGAAAGCTATTTAAACTAAAACCTCACCTTGTGTAATGTCTAAGCAGAAGAGCGGAAAGAACAGCTGCAGACAATTACTTCATCTCAATTTGAGGACATATGATTACAGCTTCTTCACATTAGCTTTTTAGCAACCTTTTTAAATCTGGCAGGAAGTTGAAATAAAATTCATTATAAACCGTGCAAGCTGAAATAAGAGGAATACCATTTATACAAATAATGTCAAAAAAAACCTGTCTTGGTAAGAAATACAAGGTCTTTTATGCTGCTGCCCATCTTTATATCACTATGGATTCTACATAGGAAAGAAACCACAGCTGATCAATTAAATTTTTTGATCAGCACATGGGATCTCTGCAGAGCAACCGAAAAGAGATTGAGCAACAGGGATTTATGGGGAAACAATGACAGAAAAATAACTCAGTAACACTTCTTTGGCTTTCAGCTAAGAGACAAATAAACAAAGTATGATACAAAGAAAAGTGTAATAAATTTCCATTCAGTTTACTTTAGGGTAAAAATAAAAACAA